ACTTTCTTTTGCCAGTCATGTGATAAAATGCCTGTAAAATGCGCGTGCAGCGACAGCGTTGCGCGAGCATTGGAGAGAGAGGCCTCCCTCCCAGGCCTCCGGCCGTTCTCACAATCTCAGCAAAACAGTATCTCGCGGGCTGCGTCGGTCTGTCTGGAGTCTGCCTGGTCACAGAGGCTCAGAGGACAGAGCGGGGTGCGGTGCCACACGGTGGGGGGGGGAGTCTCTGCCACTCTGGTTCTTCTCTCGGCCCGGAGGGGCGGAGGGCCGGGTAGGAGGGGTCTAGGTTACCTCTACCTCTGAGGGCCTGCGGCCCTCTTACCTTAGCTTTACCTCTGGGCAGCCGTGGGCCCCTCTACCTCTGAGCGACGTAGCCGTGATTAACCTGTGCGTGATCTCGCCTCGAGGATCTCTCTCGCGAGAGGCGAGTGTAGATCTCTCTCGACGCGTGGTCTCGAGTGATCTCGAGATGTTGAGATCTATCGATACAACATAATGGCCGACTGCACGCTAAAGGCTACACGCTCGCACACCACTTGCAGAGTGGCTCTCCCGGGCGCTCAGCCCACGGCGGAGGCACGCCAGGCCCCGGGCAGCCGGCCGTCACTCGCCTAAGCGCCTAAGCGGCCTAAGCGGGGGGGTGCTTAGGGTGCTTAGGCGCTTAGGCGGCCCTTGCGAGCGTGGCGGCGTGGTGGTATCGTAATACAAGTGACTCCGATGACACACATGATGCTCTTGCTAGTGTCATTGCTCAGAGAGCAGCCTCACCGCGTCGAAAGTCTACCACTGGCCCTGGTCGCACACCGCCGCTGAGCTGTGATGATGCCCACAGCACCAGCAGCAAAGGCGGGCGGGCCGGCCCCGCGGCCATCGCCGCCGCTGCCGCCTCCTCCGCCGCCAGCGCCGCCCCCTCTGCCGTCGCCGTCACCTTGGGCTGCATCACCCGCGCCGCCGCCGCGCACCGGCTCGTGCTCATTCAAAGGCGCCTCGAGTTGCAGGCCAGCGGCGCTGACGTTGTCGTGGTCGGGCTGCCCAACGTCGGCGCGGGAGGGAGGGGGCAACGCCGTTATGAAGAGCGCGAGAGCGAGCGCCGACGGCCCAGATTCTGAGCAGCAGCCCGCCTGGTCATGGGCCACTTGCCTACGTGCGTCCAGCTTCCACAAATAGGACGAACGTCGAAGTTTGCTCTCCGACGCCGTGCCGAGCGAAACCTTTTCCTTCGAAGCCCGGCGACGTAGCCGGGCGAGCGGAATAGGGCAGCCCTAGAGAGCACCTTGAGGCCATTCAATAGAGCCCGTACTATAGTCGAGAGTCGATCGCCGGCCCGCGCAGTGCTGCTCTGACCGCTCCGCCGGGCCGCCTCCGGGCCGCCGCGGCGGAGACGTGCACATAGGCAAGTTGGTATTTTCATATATGAACTTCAAAATAGTATTGGCTAGTCTAATTCTACTCATCACAACTCGCCAGGAACACCCACACACTATAGGGTCATTGTGTAGCCCTGCTTAGAAGGAAAAGGTTTTCTGCAAGGTCCGTATGCCTTACCGTGTAGTCGGCCAATCTGCGATTTTCACTCGCCGAGAAGGGAACATAAAATGCGCAGCCGCACGAGTATTTCTGAGAGCCGCTTATGTGAGTGGCAGACATTTCAAAAAATGGGCGCCGCAGGCGCCCCGCGCTGCGTGCCCACCATGATTGGGCGCGCAGCGAGGAAAATTTTGGATGTCGACAGCCTTTTCTAGGAAAAAGGCCTCCTCGGCGCCATACCGCTCTTCGGCGCACAGCAGAGCTCGCAGCCTGACATGCTGCCTTCCCTTCTATACACTTTCAGAATGGAGGCAGCGCCGGGCTCAGCTGTGCCCAGACCAGGTCGATTTGTACCAAAGTTGGTAGACAGTGCCAAAACCACGTAATCGAAAATGGCTCTTAGATTCACGCACCTGGTGTCCGCACTGCCGCATGGTGCGAGCCGCCACTCCTGAGAAGGTCTCCGCTGCGGTGCTTTTGCTGTCTGCGTCAATGCAGCATCCCATCGAGCACGTCACTATGACCTGACCCCTCTGATAACCGACGTCGCCAACGGCAAGCCTGCGTCCGTGTTGCATATGCTCTCCATCCATGTTCGCATTGCGGTGGATTGCCAATTCGAGCCACTTGAGCAATCATGCACAATCAATGCGCCGAAGAGCTGAGACGCAGATTCTTTGCACCGGGTCAGCAGGCAGGCAGTGCAAGGTCCAAGTGGTCGCGGCACTGGTCATTCGCGATGCGGTAGGCGATGCGATCAGCCGTCAGCAAGCGGCGGTGAAGCCTGGTCCATGGCCGGGCAGGCGCGCCGCAGGCGAAGCGCTCTCGCGGGGCCTCCGTCGACCGTCGGTCCTCGGCGGGCGCGTTCACGGGCGTTCATGCACATGTGCATGTGCGTTCACGGGCGCACATGCACATGTACGTTTACCTGCCCTCACCTGGGCTCCGTTTACCTCTACCTCCGGCGGTCTGAGACAGGTTTACCTTTACCTGAGGCCCCCCAGGCCAGCCCTACCTCTACCTGCGCCCCCGCCCTCCGGGCCGACTTCTCTTGGTTTTGGCTTTTGGTCACAAAATTTAATCGGCTGGGAGCACCCCCTTGAGCCTTGTCGTTTCGAAGTCCGATTACGTCAGTAGAGTGTCAAGAGACGGATCTCGCAATGTGGAAAAGAAAAAAACTGCGCGCCGCGACGCAGACAATTTTTTATGACAAACCGGGTTTGTGTGACGGTCTCTCAAACGCGAGGGGGGCGGCAGCGACAAAGGGCGCAGATGCCGTGCAATTTTGCGGCGATTGCAACCACGCCCAGGCGCGAGTGCAAGTCTACCTCCTGCCTCTGCCGGCGAGTGCGCGCCGCCTTCACTGCTCGCCGAGCGACACGCGTGGCCAGACGGCGAGGGGGAGCTTGATGGTTCCCTGCCACAGGGCGAGCAGCGTGGGCAGCAGCACCACCTACTCGCAGCTCCCGCGCCGTGACCACCTCCCTCGCGGAGTGGAGAGGGCGAGCGCGGGCGGCGGGGGGCGACCGCGTAAAAGAGCAGCGGCAGGTACGGCTTGAGGCTCCGCCAGAGCAGCTTCGCGCGCCGCCGGTATGCGAGCGCCGTCTTGGCGAAGCCTATCAGGCCCGACGCGCCGCCGCCGCCAAGGCCGGCGAGGAGAGGCGAGTCGAGAAGCGCCTCGAGCCCGCCTTCGTCGCCGCCGCCGCCCGCCCCCCGAGGCCCGCCCATCCCGCCCATCAGCCCGCCGAGCAGTCCGCCCGCCGGGGCGCCGCCCATGCCGAGGGTGGGCGCGCCAACGCCGCCGAGCCCGCCGAATGCGGAGAGTGGCGACGCGGGCTTGGTCGCCGCGCTCGCCGCCTCCGCGCGCGAGAGCGCACGCGCGACCTGCTTGTTGCCAGGCAGAAGCTTGGCCGCGCGCTGCAGGTCCCACACCGCCGCCTCCGCCTCGCCGAGTGCGTGCAGCGCCTGGCCGCGCCGGAACCAGGCGGTGCCGCACCGCACGTTTGCGCCGATCACGGCGGTGCACGTGTCCACCGCCTCGCGCCAGCGACGCTGCTTCGAGAGGCAGAGGGCGAGGGAGAGCCGGCCGCGCTGCAGCTCGGACGAGACGCGCCGCTCGCTCTCCGTCGCGTCGCCGCCGCTCCAGAGGACCAGCAGCAGCTCGCACGCCTGGAGAAGACGTCTCCGACTCGTGTCCGAGGGTATGACAGGGCGTGGACAGGTCGTGGACTAGTCTTGGACGGGGACGGGGCATGGCCGGGGCGGGGGTGGGGGGGGGGGGGGGAAGGGGGCCCTTCTGGGACGCCTGCGCGTACAACTTGCCCGCCTCGCGCCACTGCCCGCCCTGCGCGCTCTCCTTGGCCGACGCCCGCAGCGTCGCAACCTACTCACACGGCAGACGGCGTCGAGCGGCCACGGCTCGGACGCCGGCTGCCGCCCGCAGACAGCTGAGCCTCGGCTAGCATGTCCGCGTCCGCCGCCGCGGAGGCGTCGCCGCTCCCTGTCGCACCCGTGCTGACGGCCTCCGGCGTCGCTGCCCGACGCGCCGCCCCTTCCTTCCGCGTCGCCGCCTCCTCCACCGCCTCCCCCGCCGCCTGCGTCTGCGCCTTTTCCAGCGCCGCCGCCCTCGCCCTCTCCGCCGCCGCCGGCGCCGCCGCTCGCGCCACCCCGCCCGGAGGCGGCCGCGGCTCGCGAGGTCGATGAGGCTCCGCCTGCGCCGCAGCCGCCGCGGGCCTCCCCTTTCCCCGCAGCGCCGAGGGCGCTGCCGCCGGCGCAGCGGCCGCAGCGCGCGGCTTGCTCCGTCTGCGGCGCGTCTCGGCGTCGTGAAACGCCATCGACACGCCGGTGGCGGCGGCATGGCCGTAGCCGCCGCCGCCGCCGCCGCCGCCACTCGCCAGAAAGGACGCGTCCGCGAGCGCCTCGCGGCTCTGCTCCTCCGACTCACGTGCAAGCACCTGACTCGGCCGCAACGCGACTGGAAAGCCACGGCTCGGAGGCACAGGCGGCGCGGCAGCGCGAGAGAGCTCAACGGCCGGCCCGCGCTCGACTGTGCCGCCGGAGCCGGCCAGCGCCGTACTCGCCGCCACCGCGCCCAGCTCCAGCGAGTCGGGCCCGCTGTCGGTCGTTGCGCCGCTGACTGCCCCGTCTGGCGGCTCCGGCACGCCCGAAGCGAGACCAGCGCCGCCATCAGGGCCACCACCGCGGAGGTGGTGAAGGCGGGAGCGGGCCCTCCCGATCGGAGCGCCGCCGCTCGCGAGTACGACGAAAGCCAGCGACAACATTATGTCGGCGGCTGCTGGCTTCACTGCTTGTACGCGCCACCGTGTCCACATGAGAAAAACCATGGCCCCTGAATGAAGCAGTCTGTGTGAGTCGTCCTGTTGCCGTCTCCCCTCTCCGTCGTCTCACTGGGAGACGTCGGCGGTGATGGCGGTGTGACCGATCGAGCTACAATGGCACTAAAATATCTTGCGCCTTGGCGGCGTGCCGTCCTCCCATCCATCCACCTCCCTTGCGCCTCGTTTTGACATTTGAGTTTTGTTTTCTTTCTTATTATTTATAGGACGCGCCAGTCTTCCGCACCTGTGTCGAGCCTGTGAGAGCTGAGAGGAGTTGTTTTCAGTTAAATCGTTCTTTGATCTTTCTGGGATCCGCTCTTTTTTAAGCGGAAGGCGAATAGAGCTGACAGCTGTCAAACGTTAACTTTGGGCCTAACAGTTGCACTATTGTTGGCTGAAATCCTTAACGTTGTTCAAGTGTTCATCCCAGCCCATGCTGTTACTGTTTGTTACTGTTGTTACTGTTGTTCTCAGCGGCCAGCAAGCAGAAAACGGCAAAAAACCCGGGTAAAACCCGAAAATACCTGGGATTTTCCAGGTATTTTCGGGTATTACCCGCACTGGACGCTGGAGATCGTCGTGGGTCACTGCCAGGCCTTCCTTATTGTTGTTCAGCCGGCCTAACGTTAGCTACTGTTGTTGGGGAGCCCAAAACTGTTGTTCTGTTGTTACTGTTAACACTAGCAACACTGTTCAGCTCTTAACGTTTGACAGCTCTAAAGGCGAAGGACTCCAGCGTGCCAAGGCACTTAGCTGCCCGCCTCCGCTTTACGGAGTCCAGTTGTGCAGAAAAGATAGCCAAAGTTGTATGTACTGAGTGCTCCCACTCCCCAAGGTCCGGCGCAACTACTCCTCCTCGTCGCCAAACGAGAGGACCGGCTTGCTCGGCTTTGGCTTCTTCGCCTTGCGCTCTCCCGCCTCGCCCGCGGCTGCGGGCTGTGGCTCCTCCGAGACGGAGCAGGCGCCGCCCTGCGCGCTGATGGGCGCCGCCGGCGCGCGCGGCGCCTTCCTCGTGCCGCCCACCGGCCCAAACAGGCCCGGCAGGCCTCGGCCTGCCGCCGAGCCGCCGCGGCCGTCGCGTGCGGCGGCAGACTCGCGCGCCCGCTGGCGCGCCTGCTCCACAGCGTCGCTGACCATCGCGCGCGCCCGCTCGCGCTCCGCGCTGCCGCTGCCGCCGGAGATGCGGACGGTCCGCACCTCCCCGCCGCCGCCCCGCTGCGGCGCGTCGCCGGCCTCGCCGGCCGGCACGGTCGGCGTACCCGCCTCCTCCGCCTCCGCCTCCGCCTCCGCGCCCAGCGGGCCCGTGGCCGCCGCCGCCGCCGCGGCCGGCTTGAGCACGTCGAGCCGCGTGCCGGTCGCCGCCTGGATGCGCTTGACCGTCGCGCCGCCCTTGCCGATGACCGCCCCGATGTCTCTCTGCGACACACTCACTTCGATGGCGTCCGCCTCGCCGCCGTCCGCCTCTGCCGCCTCTGCGCGCTCCTCCGCCGGCGCCGGCGCCGCCCCCACGCCCCCGGGCGCGCCCTTTCCGCGGCTCGCGAGCAGCTCCCTGATCGCGGCGTTCTCGGTCAGATCGGCGGCCGTCCGGCCCTTTGCGTTGCGCGCGGCCGGGTCTGCATTCTTGTTGAGCAGGTAGGCGATCAGGTCGCGGTGCCCCTTGGCGGCCGCCAGGTGGAGGGCCGTCGCCTGCCGCTTCGAGTCGCGGGCGTTGACCCTCGCGCCACGCTTGATCAGCTCCTTGCACACCGCCTCGTGCCCGTTCTGCGCCGCAAAGTGGAGAGGCATCACGCCATCGACAGCGAGCGCAGAGACGTCAGCGCCGGCGTCACAGAGCAGGCCGACGATCGAGACGTGGCCCGCCCACGCCGCGAGGTGCAGCGGCGTGCGGGAAAGCTTGTCCGTCTCGGCCGCCGCGCCCGCGTCCGCCTCCAGTGCAGCTGCGACCGCGGGCCCGTCCCCCGCGCGCGCTGCGGCGAGGAGCGTGCTAGGCGGCGCGGCACCGCCCTCGGCGGCGCGCCTGGAGCCGGCTGCGCTAGGCTCCGGCTCGCCGCTCGAGCACGCGGCAGCGGCAGCGTCGTCTGGCGACGGCGCCTCGGGCTCGGGCGGCAGCACCGGAAGCTTCTCGCCAGGCTTGACAATGATCAGCTCGCCTGAGGCGTCGCGCACAAACATGGCCTTGCCCGACGAGTTGATGGGAGCCGCGGCGGCGGACGTGTCAGCCGCGAGCATTTCGAGTTGGGGAGGGATGCCTAGGCGTGAATTTACCGCCCTAGAAATAAATTTAAAACGCGTTTATCGCCTGTTTAGCGCCGATCTTACCGCTTATTCGAATGTCTTCTTACGTTGATTCGTGAGCGATTCGGCCGTCATTTTCCCTCCTTTCGCCCGCCCTTCACCCGCTCTTCCCCCGCCTTTCAGCCGCCATTAAAGACACATTTACACAACGTTTAACCGCATGTTTGGCGACACGGTTTGCCTTGAAGTTACCGCACCGACGCTAAATTCAAGCCCCTTCAAGCCAATTTATGGGCAGGTGGGCAGGAACACTGCTGCCTGCTGCTAAGCACCCGCACCGCCATCAGAACCTCCTTGAGTGACATCGCGGGGTCCAGCTCGATCTCGCCAAGCCGCTCCGCTCGGTTGTGGCTGAAGATGGGGACCAGCGTCTTGGCCGGGAGCTCCTCGACGGTCTTCTGCTCCCTGAATGTCAATCTGCCAGTGTGCGGCCACTGGCGGGTCTTCGCGCGCGAGAAGTTGGCCGAGGTTCTTGAAGCAGGAGAGACCGGTCGTCCCGGTCTTCACCTTGATCGTGACGTCATTCGAGACGTCAACGCCATTGGCCGCGGCCAGCAGCTGTTGCAGGCCGCTCGCCTTGGTGCCGACTGGCACCTGCAGGTTCACCGAGACGGTGGGACCCTGCCTGCACGCGATGAGCAAGGGCTCATTCCCGGCCATGTGTCTCCTCGCCCCGCGAGCCTATGGCCACGAAACGCGGAAGAAGAATTCACCCGTGGCATGCGCGCGAAACCGTATGGGCACGAACCGCGGAAGAGAATTCACGATCCCGTTTTGTTGTGGTGCATAGTAGCAAGACGTGCTCTAGACAGCTAAGGGCTAAGTAAGACGCGTTCATTGTTGCAATGTCATTGAGGCAGGAAAGAGCTCGCCGAGGAGTCGAGGGCTCCCGACCACGCCGGACCCAGCCAGGATAAGGCACGCTTGCCTTAAACTGCCATGAAGAGCACTAAATGTGCGATAAAAAATCTCTTGAAAGCGCCACAAAATGTATTTGAAAAGCGGATGAATTACGCCTGAACGGAGGAAGAATGGCGAGAGAATGGCGGGAGAATCTCTCGCAAATGAACAGCGAAGGGCGCAGTGAAAAACGATAAAACAAATCTTCAAATCGCCTTGTATTCATGGTTAGGCACCCTGGGTTGGGGCTCGCTATACGCGACTACCTTTTCTTTTTGAGCTTAGCCTTCGATGTTAGGAAACAAAGCAAGGCGCACATGGCATATCACTCTCGGGCCCACAGACATCCCGCACACCCGCCGCCACCCGCGCGCGCCCCACCCCGGCCGGGAGAAAGGGGAGTGACAGTGCGGGATTGAAAGCCCGGGTATGTTGAGTCCTGGCTCAACAACGCAGGGAACAAGAGGGGGTGGTCCGGCTCATAAGTCCGGCTCACGCGCCCCGAGCTCACCATCTACCGCACTGAACACTTCCGCCCCCTCGCTCCCAACCCATCCACCCCGCCCCGGCCGGGTCGCGCCGCGCGATCTCGGGCCGCGCGATCTCGGGCGATCTCGCGCAATCTCGCGCAATCCCGGTGCTCCACGCCACGCCACTCCACCCCACCCCACCTCACCCACCGCCGCGCCGCGCTATCTCGGGCGATCTCGGAGCGTCGCTCGCGCGGCGTCACACCTGCTCAAAAAAGGAAGGGCCCGGTTGGAGCCACGGGGGCTCACGAGGACGTGCTCGCTCGGTTCTCGCCGCCTCGCCCTGCGCCACTTGGGCCGGTGAGGCGGCGCGGTCAACACGCAGAGCTCACAGAGAATCCTTTAGTGCTAAGTGCTGAGGCCGTGCCTAGCTGTGAAAAGCGAAGGGCGATCCCTGCTGAGACTGCGTGCGACTCGCCGGCAACCCCATGCTGCACTTACTCTGCGTCGCCACTGCCGCCACGACGCGCCGGGCTGTGCTTCAGCACTCCGCCGGCGCTGCAGCCACCGCCGCGGCCGCCTTTGCTCTGCCGCGCAGCAGCGCACTGGCGGCCGGCGGCCAGCTCTCGGCCCGTCAGCTGCTGTCGGACGTGCCCGTCTTTGCGATCACCAACTCCAAAGGCGCACCGTACCTCACCGGCAGCGACAGTGCTGGCCGACGCACCGGGTCCTTTTACCTCTCACCGAAGGAGGCGCTCGAGCAGCTCGAGAACGTGCGCGCCTTCGATGCACGCGCCTCGCTCTCCATCCTCCCGCTGGGCGGCATTTGGGACGAGCTGCCGCACTCGAGCGCCGAGGCGGCGCGCATGCTCTCGGCGGCGCCACAGCCCAAGGCGGGCACGTCGACCGACCTGAGGCTGTTCCAGCTCGAGCCCATCTCCGACGAGCGGGCGGCGGTGCGCCAGGTGCTTGGCAAGGCGGGCGCGCCGGCCGACGGCACCGTGCCGCTCTACTGGGAGCCGTCGCTGCTCATCCAGCCTGACGGCGCGAGCGAGGCGCAGCGGCCCTACTTTTTCAGGCTGGCGGACTTGCAGGCGACGCTGGCGCAGGCGGAGGGGGCGCCCGCCAAGCCCGACTACCGCGCGCTGCGGCTGGCGGAGCTTGTGGAGCAGGAGGCCAAGGGGCGGCGCGGCGAGCCTTCGCCACCGCTCCTCGCGACGGCGGTCGGGGCGGGTGGTCGACGGCGGGACGCGAACCCGTAGGCGAGCCGCCGCCGCTGCTCTTCGTGGCCTCCGACGCCGCGGCCGTCGTCGAGCGCACGGGGATGAACGGAAACGCAGCCTCGGGCGCGCCTGGTGGGACGGGGGCAGCTTCGGGCGCCCCCGCCGCGCCCTCGCCCACCGCCCCTCCTCCCCCTCGTGACTCGCTCGCTGTCGTTTGGCAGGCGAGGACGAGCAGATGCAGCGGCTCGTCGACTTGTGCCTCAAGGTGCCGTTTGCAAAGGCGGCGCTGACCTGACCCTCCCGACACCTTTTGAGTGTCGTGTACGTTCTCTCTCGTGTACGGGCACACAGCACAGCACAGCACACACACAACACACACACACACACACACACACACACACACACACACACACACACACACACACACACACACACACACACACACACACACACACACACACACACACACACACACACACACAGGGGCAGCAGGCCAAGCCCAAATTCCAGTCCCGATCCCAAAAGAGCAAAAGAGAAAGAGCGTTGTACTCAGCGCACCAACGAGGGATGGGAGGAGGACAGGGCCCCCTCCTGACGAGCAGGATTTTGGAAGTCCGTGCTGCCCAGGATTTGGAAGTCCCCTGGTCTGGTGACAGCGAGGCGTTTGTAAATTCTTTTGACGTTAGTGCCATGCGCGCCAGTCCGGTGCCCAGTGTTGTGCGAGGGAGTTGGCTCGCGCTCGTAAATGGCTAATGGCCTCTGCTCGGACGAGGCCGTCCAGCGCTTTGTCGTCTCCGGCTTTGTGCAGCTGCCGCCCTCGACCGCAGTGCCGCCTGCCGCACACGCAGAGATTGCGGCGCAGATCCACCGTTGCGGCGTGCAGGAGGCTGGCGGGCCGGAGGATGCACGCGCCGGGCGGAGGGACCCTTACGGCTTGCGGCAGCTCGACGGCGACGCAGCGGGCAACAACCTGCTGCACGCCGCTCCTGCGCTTCGTGGGCCAGCCTTCCTCGAGTCTCCTCACCTCGTCGCGACCCTCACGCGGCTGCTGGGCCCCGAGTACCGGCTGCACCCGCACTGCCGCGGCCACCTGCGCAAGCGCGGCGCCAAGACGTCGATGTGGCATGTCGACGCCTACAAAGGGCTGCCGTGGTGCAGCGGGCGGCTGCACGAGCCGCACTGGTGCATGGTCATGTACTATCCTCAGGACACGACGCCCGAGATGGGCCCGACGCAGCTGCTGCCAGGCACACAGTTCTACCGCGGCGACAGCGATAGAGCTCACTACTCGCGCGGGCACATCCCGAGCTTCGGTGAGCAGCTGGCCGGCTGGGCGACCTGCGTCCACACCGTCACCGGGCCAGCCGGCACGGTGGTGGTGATGCACTACGACCTGTGGCACCGCGCCCTCGCCGCCGCTTCGGATGCGCCGAGGCTCATGCTCAAGTTTGTCGCCTGGCGCACCACGCCGCCTTCGGGCACCGGCCCGCCGCCTCCTTGGCCGCTTGCCGACGGAGGCGCCAGCGAGGAGGAGGAGGCGCGGCAGGCAGCGGCAGCGGAGGAGGAGGAGGAGAAGGAGGACAGGGAAGGGCTGGCGGACGAGCCCCTTCTCGCCTTCCTCAGCGGCGACGACGAGCAGGCGGCGCACGGCGGCGGCGTTGCTGGCCGCCGCCGCTTTGATCGCCAGCTCGACTCGACCGATGCTGCGCGTGCGGGGCTGCCCGCCTCCACGACCGGCTGCCTCGAGGCGCACCTGGACTCGGCCTTCCGCGAGGGAAGGCTGCTTGCCGGCGCCGAGCTGCTGACTCCAAAGGGCGCCGCCGACGCAGAGAAGCACGCTGCCCCCGCCCCGCCCTCGCCCTCGCCCGCCCTCGCCCGCCCTCGCCCGCCCTCGCCCTCGCCCGCCCTCGCCCTCGCCCGCCACCTCTCGCACGCCGTGCCATGCATCCCCTCCTCGAGCAGGCGCCTCTTCAGCTCGGCGGTGGCCGCCGCCAAGAAGGAGGCCGCGGACGGCTCGGCTCTGCCTCCGACACCGACGCACCTCATGCCCGCCCTGCTCGCGTGGCTCGCCCCGCGGTGCGCCGCACTCGTGCAGAGGGCCGCGGCGCGCGAGCGGCGGGCGCTGTTTGTGCGCGAGCGGCGGCCAGTCTGGCGGCACGTCTGGGCGTGGCTGCACGGCCAAGCAGCTGCGCCACGCCTCGTCTCTCCCGCCCGCGCGACGCGCCTCAGCGGCACGCTGCGGATTGCGGCGGAGCCGGCGCGGCTGCGGGCCGCGTACGAGCTCGCCCAGGCGACGGCTGCGGAAGCTGCTGAGGCGTTGCTCGCCGTCGTGAGCGACGCCGGCGCGGCAACCTCGGTGCGCCGCACCGCCGCCTACGGCCTGAGCGCGGCGAGCTGCGTCAGCGCGGCGCAGTGCGAACGGCTCCTCTTCCTCGCTGCCGGCAGCGACGGCGCCGAGGGTGGAGCCGAGGGCGTGGAGCCGTGCTCCCTCCCTCCAACAGCTCTGCGGGACGCGTCCCTCCCTCCCTCCCCGGACGCCGCAAGCGGGGCCACCGATCCGATCCTCGGCGTCGCGCTGGAGGAGCCATCGCGCTGGCTGTCTGCGTCGCTGCTGCGCGCCTCAGAGGGCCCCGCCGCCGCTTGCCTGCCCTTCCCGCGCACGCCGCCCCCACCTCTCACGGCCTGCGGCGTGCTTAGGCTTCGACGCCGAGCTGCTTCTCGCCGCCGCCGACCCCGCCGCGGAGATCCGCTACCTCGCGGCCATCGTACTCGCGCGAGCCACCAGACTCGCGGACTCGGAGGCGGTGCCATGCCTCGAGCGCGCGCTCGCCGTGCCGGCGGCCCAGCTTGCATGCCAAGGGTGGGGCGCCTCCCTAGACTCGCCGCCGCCGCCGCCGTCGGCGCGCCTGGTGGCACTCGAGGCTTTTGGTGCGCGGTGCGCGGCGGCGGGCAGCGGCCCGCCGCGTTTACTCGCTCGCACGCTCGCGCACGCGTGGGCGGATGCGGGCACACGCGCCGTCGCCGCGCGCGCACTCGCTCAGCTCTCGGCCCGACCGGCTGTCTCGGCCGGTCTCTCTTCTGACGAGGAGGTGGGCGGGGAGGTTGTTGGCGCGCTAGCGGCTGCACTCTCGGGTGACGCCGACCGATACGTGCGCGGCTACGCGGCCGACGCGCTCGTAAGCTTGCTCGTGCACGGTGGCAGCGACGCTGCGCGCGCAGCGCTCGAAGCCGCCCTCGGAGATTTGGGCACTGTGGCGGTGCTGCAAGGCCAAGACCAAGGGCTTGCCGACGCGCGGGCACGATGCCGTTCGCTGTGCGCGCGGCGGTGGTGCCCGCTGACGACGCCGCTGAGTCCGTTTTGACGGTACGTTTCACGGCGTTTTGCCCCCGCCCCCCGCAACCGCGGTCCGTGCGCATCGCGACGCCCCATAGCCCCCACATACGGTAAGACATATGTCGTGTGTCGCAATAGAGAGTGTGGAGATACAGCTGATACACGTGCGTTCTCTGAGTCTGACTCTGTGTGTACTGTGTTCACCCCTTCACGCAAGTACCAAGTAGAAGAGGAGAGTCTTCAACAAAAAACGCTCCCTCGAAGAAGAGGCTAAGTACGGTGGGGTGGAGGCAAATTATCGTTTTAGGGTTTTCATCCTAACTGTACTCTCCGTACTCCGTCTCCTCGCGCGCCTCAAGGGCTCAACGTCGTCTATCGTGCCACCCCCGGCCGAGCTCCATGCGCAGACTCTTACTGCAAGGCGCGGCGGCCGGCAGGCGCGCTAGCCGCTATTCCGGCGATGGCCGCCCCTCCCCCCCCACCCCGCCCCACTTGCCCTCACGAAACGCATCAGCGACTATGCCAGAGCGTGCCTGCGCCCCTCCCCCCGCCCGCTCGACGCCACGTGGCCTGAATAGCCTCCCTGCCCCCCTCCCGACCTCCCCCCCCGACCCCCCCTCCCCCGAGGGTTCGGTTTGGGGCGCGGTGGGGGACGGGAGCCGGCGTCTCGCTGCCCCTCCTCCTCGCGCCTCCGCCAGCCTCCTCTATCCGAGCTCAGTCCGAGATTTGCTGCGGCAAATCGTGCCGCGCCTCGAGCGCGTCGTAGTCGGCTATCGAGTACGAGGCGGGCGTGCGCGCGCCGTCGAGCACCGTGTTGCCCTTGTAGAAGGAGAGGCCGCGCAGGTTTGTCCGCTCCTATTCCACAAACGCTCTCGGCTCCGGGACCTCTGCGCTGCCTCTCCCTCTCTCGGGCGCGTCTCGCCTCGTAGATGCGGAAGAGGCGGTTGAGGTCGGTCGTCGGCTTGAGTCGGAAGAAGATTTCGTGCGTCGACGGGCCGGTGGCCTGGCAGGGGGGGGGGGGGGGGTC